CCCTTGATTCTTTTCTATAGGTCACAACTTTCTGTTGAAATTCTCCTTCTTTCCAACAAGTATTTTCCTTACACTTGCTTTTATTTTATTGAACACTGCTTGCAATAGTCATTTTAAAGGCTTTATTTGCAAACCCCAATGTCTGAATCATCTGAAGGGTCTGCTTCTAATGTCTATTTTTTTCTTTTGATGACTAATTATATTTTTCTACCTCTTCATATCAATAAAACAAATAAAACTTTTGTGAACTTTGTACAAATGAACTACGGAGACTGGAGATGACATTAATTTCCCCCAGAGCATTTGTTCTTTCTTCTGTGTGGGGTGGAACACCTTCATCCAGCGGGGATTGAGCTGGGTTGGGGCTGCACTGTGGCTTTAGGTAGACTTGGTTTACTTTGCCTTCTGTGGCCTCAGAATGAAGTCAATTCTATTTGTGGCAGGATTCTTCCTTCTGTGGGACTCTGTCACTCTCCTTTTTTCTTTAGATCCTTCTTTTTAATTTTTTAATTTGTTTGAATTTGTTATACATGATAGTAGAATGCATTTTGTTTTTTTAATTAAAAAAWTTTTTTTTAGTTGTTGTTGGACCTTTATTTTTTATTTATTTACATGTGGTGCTGAGAATCGAACTCAGTGCCTCACACATGCTCAGGCAACGCTCTACCACTGAGCCGCAACCCCAGCCCCAGTAGAATGCACTTTGACACATTGTACAAAATGGAGCACAGYTTCTCCTTCCTTTCCCTGAACATGGTGCAGAGTCACACAGGTAGTGTTATCATCCGTGTGTATAGGGTAGTAATGTCCATCTCATTCCACCGTCCTTCCCCCTCTCCCCCACTCCCCGCTGCACAATCCAAAGTTCCTTCATTCTTCCCTACCCGTCGCCTTCTGTCTCTTGCTGACCTCATTCCTTCCCGCATCCCAGCCTCTCTACTGTTTAGCAGATATCCTATGGGATGAGAGGCACCTTTACAGTCCACTGGACTCACTCCATCATGCTAACCTCAATGGCTGGTGGAAGCCCTGCTGGACTCTCCCCTCCAGTAGTTTACTTCTGCTAAACCCAGTCCAGCCCTCTCTCAGCCTATTCCCAGATCTAGAAAAGCCTCAAGGAAGCAGCTCCCATCCCCATTTGGCATGGAAAGGCTCCGTTCCGTAATTTTTGTGCATTAGTTTTCCTTGCTTCTATAGCTCTCTGATTTTTTTTAAAGTATGACTTTGTAACACATCTGCTGCATTGTTTTTTATTTTTTATTTTTTGTAGCTGTAGATGGACAACATGCCTTTATTTTATTTGTCCACCTTTACGTGGTGCTGAGGATCTAACCCAGTGTCTCATGCATGCTAGGCAAGCGCTCTGCCGCTGAGCCCAGCCCSAGCCGTCTGCTGTATTTTTATTAATTTAAAAAGTTCTGGGTCTGGGGGTGCAGCTCTGTGGTAGAATGCTTACCAAGCATGCTCAAGGCCCTGGGTTCAAGCTTCAGTACCCCCCACCCCTAAAAAAAAAATGGCAGCAGGAGAATGGCCACTACTCACTGCACCCTGCCCAGAAATAGGACTCCTGTTGCCCTATTGCTGTATTTTCACTGCCTTCTTTTTAGTCCACCCCGAGTCTCGCAGGATAGATGCCCACTTGGAGCCCAGCTGAGGGYCATGTGCCATTGCCCTGGTCCCCCTCCATCTCAATCTGCACGTGTGGAAAGATGATCGAGGCCTGAGCACTGAGCCTATTCCAGACACTGGTGTCTGGTCATCGAGATGCTTATTGGGTACCCAGCACAATACCCGGCACATGAGGGGCACCAGTATTTGCATGGGGCAGGGTTAAGGGATCACTGGCTGACTTGAGGGTGGACGTTAGGGGCAAAGGTTTCAGGGAGGGTGTTTCAGCCTTTGGTCTGGATCAAATCACAGGGACATTTGGCCTGAGTGTTTGGAAAAGACTACAGGAAGCCAAAATGGATGGTATTCATGAACATAGAGAAAGCGTGGAGGAAAAGTCCGACTCCATAGGCACCCTCCTCAAGGCCTCCCACCAGGAGCTGCAGTGAGTTGGCCAGCCCCCGAGTCTTCCTGGCTAGAGCAGGGGTGCCACAGGCCTCCCCAGGTCCCAGGAACCTCTCCCTGAGTTGGGCAGGGCTGGGCATGGTTGGGGAGGGCCCTTGGAAGGCCAGGGGCTTGGGGCCTGCAGGCAACTTTACTCTATAGGTGGCAGCTGTGGCTGGGAGCCCAAGCCTCGTTCTAGTGCAGCTTGGCGGGAAGATTGAACAGTAAAGGGAGAAAATCAGAGCCCCAAGCGCCTAGATGGGGCCCCCCTGAGCCAGACTTGGATTTGCCAGGCTAGCAGAGGTCATTTCCACATGGTCAGAGGTCCCTGGCAGGAGGGTGCCGAGGCCCACATCCAAGTCCCTGGTCCCGAGCAGACATTTGTGTTATTTCCCTGCTTTGTAGGCAAGAGGGGCTCTGTTCTTTTTCCCACTCACTCCATCTGCTCAACCCTTATTCCTGACCAAGTCTCATATAATCTTGGTTGCTTAAAAAATTCACGGAGGTCTGACTTCCAGACCTTAATCTAAGTTTCCAGAAATCCAAGACATCCAGGCAACAGGTCCCTTTAAGAGGACTCACAGTCCACTTAGGGAGGCGGACGTACAAGCCCATGTCTGCAACGCCATGTGATGATTTAGGAACAGGGATGGTTTAGAGGTCAAGCCACCTGATTGGGTGGAACAGATAAGGAAGGCTTCTTAGGAAGGGAGATTGTAGAGTTGGGTTTTGACATTTAAGTAGGAGTTTGCCAAAATCCATGGAATCTGTGTGACGCCTGTGCTCCCATCAAGGCAGTCCTGTGGGGACCTATGAAACAAGGCGAAGGCAGGGTTTCCCTGGGGTGGGAGGGTGTTTGAATATTCCACAGGGGAGGTCCAGGTGAGGCTAGAATGGGGTACAGCCTCCATGGAGGACAGCACAGGGTGGTGGGGGGAATGGCAGGACTTGCAGAGGCCACTGCCTCTGGGCTTTGCAGTGCCATTGAAGGCTTTCTCAGTGGTGGGGCCCTGGGAGCATGGCCTGGGGACGGGGGAGGGGGAAAGGCTGGGGAGGACAGGCCCAGGATGGGGAGCTCCTCTCTTAGCTCCTGGCAGCAGGAGGGGCATCTTGTGAAGGAGAGCCCCTAACAGCAGGGATCTGGCTGAGGCGCTGGTGTACCAACGGCGGGAGCAGGAGGCGCTGATGTCACTGTTGAGTGGCAGAGCRGATACAGAGGCGGAGGCTTGGGCCAAGCTGCACAGGATGGCCCCAATGTCCCCGTGGGCTGGCGAGCACCCCCTGCAAGACATCGAAGCCAGCTGGAGTGAGTGGGAGTCCAAGGGCAAGCAGGTGAGGCTGGGGGAGGTGGGGCAGGTGCAGGCCCAGCATTCAGCCTTCACTCTCTCCTGAGACTCCTGCAGGGTAGGCTGGGGGAGGTCGGGCAGGTGCAGCCCAGCACTTGGCCTTCACTCTCACCTGAGACTCTTGCAGGTGAGCAAAGTGGTGGGGGCAGCGTTTAAGCCCAAGGAACGGTTGCAGAACCCCAAAGTCCTGTTCAGTGGCRTGCAGTACACCTGGATGAGGCAGCAGGTACGAGTGTGTGGGGCCTGCCCCTGAGATGCGGGCTCATGGAGGTCAGGGGATCCCATCTCCTGTGGTGGCCGCCGTGGTGCCCGTGTGGCTTCCAGTGGGAGTGATGTGCACATTTGTCCTTTATCAGGATTCTAAGCCGCAGACTGCTGTCACGGCCCTGGTCTGGCCCTGGTTTGGCCCTGGTTGAGGCTGTTGGCACAGGTTTCATCCTTGAGGACAAACGTCATTAGGTCTGTGGGAGGGGCTCTCTGGGGTCTGGCACATCTGGAGCCTCCCAAGTGCTGCCACAGTCTGTGGTTGCTCATCTGCTTTTCCACGTGTCCATTGCCCATGTCCTCGGGACGTGGGCACTCGAGAATGGGCACAGGGTGTCATGGTCTCAGGGACACAGGAAGATGGGGTCCATGGAAGGGAGTGGGAGAGAAAGGAGCCCGGGGGGGGGGGGAGAGGTGGCTCAGTGGCAGCACGCACAGGTCCCTGGCCAGGGCAGACCCCCTCCTTGTCTGCCGCGGGGCATTCTGAGAGCCCCTCCTTCTCTGTGGGGAGGAATGAATGAGAACACAACTGGCCTCTGCAGGGCCTCTCTTGGGCGTGGGGCGGTTTGGCACCAGAGGGCTCACTTTGCACCCCTGCCCCATCCTGGGCAGGTCCTCATGGCATTGTGAGAGCAAATCGGAGAGGTGGGGTACACCTGAGGAGCTCTCTGCCCCTGGGCCCACTGTGGGCCTGGTTAATGGCCTCTTTGTCAGAAGGGTACAGCTCGGGTGCTGGTGCCCACCTCACAGCCTGTGGTGAACACCTAACAAGCATGAGGAGCTGGGGGCTGGGAGACCGGGCCTTCTGCAGAGGGTGCATGGCCCTCGGGCTGTGGGCATTGGTGACAGCCTTGGTACTTGGAGACTTCTTTTCYGTGAGAGGTGTCCTGCTCTTGGTCCTGGGTGCCCTCAGCCCCCACAGTGCCCCACTTCACTGCTCTGTCCCCTGCAGATCTCTCCGCAGATCTACCAGAACCTGTTCTTCGACGAGCTGACTCCTGTCCAGCCGCCTGACTCCCTGATACACAGGGTCCTTGACCAGCAGGGCCGGCACATCTGCTGGGTGGCGCGTGATCTCGAGCCTCCCAGGGACCAGGTGTTTGTGGACACCACGCCCATTGCCACCTCCTCCCACACCTCCTCCCTGTCCCCAGCAGCCTCGACCTTCAGGCTGCTGGACTCCAGCTCCTCCCTGCGGCCTCTGTCCTCCACCTCGTGGCCCAGGTCAGCCTCCATGACCTCCCCCTCAGCCCTGCCCGAGGGGTCCCAGTCCATCCTGCAGAGGCCAGAGATCACCATGGCTGTCGCCTCTTCCCTTCTGCGCCCCCCAAAGCCCCTGGAAGCCCCCGTCGTGTCCTCCCCAAGGAGGAGCTTCCATGTCAGGTTCTGAAGTGTCCACCCTGTCTCCAGCCCTCCAGCAAGGCACCGGCTTGTGGGGTCCCGCTGTCCCTGGCTCACACCTTGCCAGTCCTGGGGACTGTGGGCTTTCCCCGGTGGCTCCCATTCTGCCTCTCTGGAGAAGTCCAGTTGTCTTCTCTCTGGATCTGCACAAAGTCTTGGAGAAGAAAATAAATGTTCTCATTTGTCAGAGTCCTGCAGGTGATGAGGCTGGGCTGGGCTCACACCCTTAGTCCCTGCTTCGGTCAGCACCCTGGCGAGGCCCCAGGGAAGACAGAGAGCCCCGGCCCTAGGAACCTGGACACAGTTGACTGGCAGGCGACAGGTGACACCTGAGGGTGGGCCGTTGGTGGGCCCCTGGTGGGGAGCTGCATGGCCCAGAGTTTTGGTTCTGTCTCATGGAACATGAGGCCCAGAGCCCATCGGGTGGTGCCAGTGGCTGTTTTTCCCCTCCTCTGCTGTCTGTCCAGTCCCCCTCACCCACAGGTACTCCAGCTACACCCCTGTACGGGGAGACAGATGGTACCCACCTGGCTCTGGAGCCTCCCTCTGACCCAGAAGCACCATCTAGGCCTCTGCTGGGCCACCAGCCATCTTGAGGCATGTAGGGGTTTTTGGACGCAGAAGATAGCATTTAGAGGTCATGAGGCACAGGCCTGTCAGCCAGGCCCTCACCCCAAATCAACTCATGCCCTTTTTAGCTTTGGTGACCACTGCACAGACAGAGCTCCTAGGCCCACCATTCCCATGGGTGTGGCACCATGCTACTCCTCCCAGATACCCCAAGACAGCTGTCCTCAGGCTAGCAGAGCTGAGCTCGAGGGCAGTGCACTCCTGAATCGGCTGCTCAGGGGGTGGAGAGGCCAGGGGAGCCTGTCTGAGTGAGTCCCCAGGGCAGCAGGTTCGAGGCCCCTGTCTCCCGCAGAGCAGTCCCTACAGGTGTGTCTCTTACATGCGGGGTGTATTGAGCCCTGTGTCAGATGTGCTTTGAGGGAGGGTTCTCATATCACYGGAGGGCATCTGAGGAGGTCCTCTAGAGAGGGACCTTAACTCAAGATGACAGGGTCCCTGACGAACATCACAGAAAGGAATTTCAAGACATGTCAGAGAGAGGCACCATCAGATTTGTTCAGGAAAGCAAGCAGTGCACATTTAGTGGAGGACACGGGCCATCTTAAGGGTGAGACATACTTTGGAGGACTCAGGCACTTTTTAAAGGAAACTGAGAGGTGGGCATGGGAAGGTATGGGGGGATGACATTAGTCTGGTGGTCACAGATGGCTTATGGTTGTCTGGTTGTTCCCAGAGTCCTTAGATTGATGTTATCTGTTATCTAGACATTATATAACTTTGGGAAAATATACTGGATTATAGATTTTGTATCTCTCTTTGCTTAGTGTACTCTAAAAATACAGGTATTCATGGGCTGATTAACTGTGCACAGGATTTCATAAGTGGGCAAATTCCAGCAACTTTAAGATCGTGAGCGAAGATTTGTAGATTGCCCAGAAACTTGGGAGTGACAGGCCTGGGGAAGATCTGGCCTGGGAAGGACAGGTGGGAGGAACTTTAGCTTTTAGATTAAAGCTATAATCTCCTTGTCCTTCCTCTCATCTTCTTTCTACCTACCTTTATTCCTTTATCCCGCCTCACTGAGACGAATGGAACCCACCCCTGGAAGCTGGGCATGGTGGCACTTGATTACAATCCCAGCATCTCTGGAGACTGAGGCAGGAGGATTGAAAGTTAGAGGCCATCCTGGGCAATTTATCAAGATCCTGTTGGAAGATTAAAAAAAAAAAAAAAAAAAAAGCAGGGCTGGGGATGTGGCCCAAGCGGTAGCGCGCTCGCCTGGCATGCGTGCGGCCCGGGTTCGATCCTCAACACCACATACCAACAAAGATGTTGTGTCCACCGAAAACTAAAAAAATAAATAAATATTAAAATTTTAAAAAAAAGCAAGGCTGGGGGTGTAACTCAGGGGTAGAGTGCCCCTGGTTCAATCTACCCCTCCCACCGAAAAAAAAAAAGGGGTCGGGTGGGGGTTGGGGTTGTGGCTCAGCAGTAGAGCACTTGCCCAGCACATGCAAGGCCCTGGGTTCGATCCTCAGCACCACATAAAAATAAATAAATAAAGGTATTGGGTCAACTACAACTAAAAAATATTAAAAACAAAAACAAGGGTTCCGGGCTTTATTTTGAACACCATCTGGCAGCTGTCCCAGGGTGCAGAGCCCTTAGAGGCACATCTGGGTTTCCATGGGCTTGAAGCTCACACAGCCGACTTCTCCTTAGGAGGCKAGTCCTCAGAGACAGACATGAATCAGGCTGTGGGCCGGGGAGATGGCTCACCAGGGCGCTGTCTTAAGCTCCACTGGTTTCTTGGTAAGGCCACCCTCTCAGCCCTTGTTGTTTTTCACTTGTGCAACAAACATCCATTAAGCACCTTCCAATCTAGAAAATTCTTCCCCATGGTKGATCTGAAAAGGTGTCCTGCTGGCACCCAGAGCCTGTCGCTCTCTGGCCTCAAAGGTGGAAATGTATTGTCTCCTCGTGGTGGAGGTTGGCGGCCTCTTATCCTGAGGGGAGGGCTCTTCCTCGCCTCTTCTGAACTTTCTAGAACCATGTCATTATGAGGCACTGGGGAATTTTCTTCATCTTGGAGGATTTTTTCTGCTGTTGACCAGCAACCCTCCACCTATAGAGACGTCACCTCAAACTCTGCCTCCATGTCCTGTGGCCATGTTCTCCCTGTGTAACTGGAAAACAAGCTATGCTCTGTTCTGAGTTACCCCACGATGCTGAGAGCAGCAGTTGTTGGGGGACACCTAAGCCTGAGTGACCCTTCTGTGAGACCGCGGCTTGCCGTAAGCTACTACTACATTTTAAGTTCTGAGATGAAATGTCTCTACAAGTAAACAGCCACCACCTGTCTAGCACATAAGTTAGTYATGCTAACAAAAGTGACACCTGTGGACTTACCGAATTAATCAGAAGCACACAGACGCACAGGTGTGCCAAACTCATATCGGAAAAACCAGGCCCACGAGCTCATCAGACTCACCAGGCCATGTCATGGGGCGACTCCCCTAATCAGGCCATAAAAGGAATCGCTGGGGTTGCGGCTCAGTGGCAGAGCGCTCGCCTCACACATGTAAGGCCCTGGGTTTGAGCCTCAGCCCACATAAAAATACATAAACAAAGATATTGTGTCCATGTAKAACTAAAAAGTATTAAAAAAAAAAAAAAAGAATCTGTATCCTCAGGCTTCAGGGGAGCTGGGTTTCTCCTGCCGGTCACAACCAWGAGCCTACTCCAAGCTGACACTCTGAACCGCACGCACTCCTTCTGGACCGTGGCCTAGAGTAAGTTCCTGTGTCGTGGGCCTGAGTGTATGTGCCTTGACCAGACGGACTCCATTTACCCCAGACTCCATTTCATATAAGAAATTTCTCCCTTGTGAAAACTCCACCTCTGTAGCCCACCTCCGGCTATCCACGTCCTMTTTGGCCAAGGCCAAGCTGCTGAAAAACGTTTCTTTTATTCTTATACAATGTATTATTAAGAAATGCTTTTGTAAGATGTTCTCTTTTCAGTTCCTATTTTTCTTGGGCAATGTACCCTGACTGCACCCTGAACTGGATCATTCTGACCCACTTGCACGTTGCTATGGTTTTGATTTACTGGTAGCTGGTGGGTTTGGGCCATAAAAGATGCACTCTAACTTCTGCAAAGGGTCCAAGGGTGCAGAGTCGACTTGGTTCCACGCCCTGCTTCTAGACTGACTTGTGATTTGGTCACACGCGCCACACACCTGCACTCCCACGGCGCTGCTCCTGGACCGGTTCTGCTGCTGGTTCTCATCTTCTCTGACCACTGACCACTGCCGTGACTGCGTCAGGGACCTGTGCGCTCTCAGTTGCCCCACCGCAGCGAGGCGCCCTATCTTCCTGGCCTGGTGCTTCCTGCCCTGGGGCTCTGCAGGGGTGGGTGAGGGGTGAAGGGTCTCCAGGTTCTGGAGGGGAGAGAGGCTGTGCTAAGCCGGGAGGGGGCTCTTAGGCAGGGACATGGTTGGGGAGGAAAGCCCGGCTATTATCTTCAGCGAGCACATTATGTGGGACTTGTGGCCCCCGTTTTTCAGGTGAAGGAGTTCAGGGGAGTTACAGGTTTTGTCTGGCTCTCTCGGGTGTTGGAGGTATCAGGTTGGGGGGCCCAGGCAGGACTCTGGAATTGGTAATGTCTCAAGTTGAATTGATGCTCAGAGCGTGCTCTCTGGAGTTGGCTTCTCTGCTCACGCCCGATGTGACCCTGGGCGGGGGCTTAAATCTCTCAGACCCTCAGTTTCCTTATCCATAGAATGGGGAGAAGTAGCTGTGGTTGAATTCCTTCATGGGGCCTCTGGCTTCTCCCAGGGACTTTGCCTGCACTTGACCCCTGTGGTGTGCCTCATGCTGACCCCGGGGCTCCCCTTGACTTGCTAGAGGGGGCCAGCAGCTTGTGTAGACGTGCAGACCAGGGGCAGTGCTCTAGGCCTCGGGGACTTGGTGGTAAGGTTGGAACAGTGGCACTCAGGGCTGGCAGGCAGTGGCATTGCTAGGACCTGCTCCTCAGAGCCACTTTTGTGGCTTACAGAGCAAACTCACAGTCCCTGAGGCCTTGGGGAGGTGAGTGGGGCAGCCCCTGGCCTGTGGGTCTCTAGATCCACCTGTGACCGGCCTTCCCGCCGTCACGTGCCCCCCACCCCTCTTGAGCACTGGGCCTTCCACATTGCAGGGCACAGACTTCTCAAGGAAAGAGAGTCATGTCCTGATGTCACTCGGGGCTGGAGCAGCTCTGGGTCATTCTGTGGCTTGAAAGCCTGGCCGATCTGGGTTGCTGTGTGATGGGCAAGTGACTGTCCTCTAGGCCTCGTGGCCTTGGGAGCCGGTTGGAGAGAGGAGACCGGGCAGGGCTGGGCTCGCACACCCCGTCGTCCTGGGAGTGCTCTCTGAT